AAGGAGGCGGCACTATCTGACCAGGAAGAATAGCCAAGATGTATCACTTCCTGAGAAAGGCACTAGACCAAATGTGATGAAGCCACACAGTCAGCTTAAAAAAAAAAAAGATAGAGACATATGTATATTTGGTTATGCCTAGAAAGTGTGTGGGAGGAGTCAGGTCAAACTGTGGTTACCCTTAAAAATGAAGGAGGGGTGTGTGTGCATATGTGAATGTGTGTGTATGTGTTGGGGAAGGTTTCTTTTTTCTGATAAGAATGTGTTAAATCAATAAAAACTAAGAAAAAAAAGAGGCCAGGAGTCCCCCCGTATTGCCCACCAGGAGGGCACCCGCCTCTATCTGCCCCAGTGCTGTGGCCTTCCCCCACCTGCCACTCTTTCCTTTGGTCTGTGCTGAGCAGGTGACCCTTCCTCTTCCCTCTTACTCTTCACCGGGCTCATTTCTAAACCCTTGAGTCGCCGAGCAGCGTGTCTGCCGTGTGACTCGTGGCAAAGTCAGCAGTAAATCACACACGTCCACGTACTGGTAACCTGGCCTTCATCTGGAACAGCTCACATTAGTCACCGGGAAGGAATATGTCTCAGTGCAGGTATCATCACCTGTGATGCGTCGGCCCCACATCTCTGAGGGCTGAATCAGGTCTGTGTGTCAGGGAAACCGGGCTCATGTACTATAGTAACACTGGATAGCTGGACCATTTGTTTAAACAAAGCAATTTGCATCCCTTTCCTGAAAATTTTTCATTCAGGAAATATATCTCAGACTGCCGGCCAAGGTGGAGGCATAGGTAGACACGCTGTGCCTCCTCGCACAACCAAAAGAAAGACAACAAAAATTTTAAAAACAAAAAACAACCAGAACTGACAGAAAATCGAACTGTATGGAAGTCCAACAACCAAGGAGTTAAAGAGAAAACCTACAGGCAGCTGGGTGGAGAGGACTCATGGCAAGGTGGCGGCTGGTGGACTGGGCAGTCCCACATTCTTGTGAGGATAAACTGGGAGGAACAACTGGGAAGTGAGACAGACCCCACAACCCAGGGTTCCAGTGTGGGAAATAAAGCCTCAAAACCTCTGACTGAAAACACCTGAGGAACACCCAGCCTCACAGGAGAGTTCGTTGGAGAGACCCACAGGGTCCTAGAATGTACACAAGCCCACCCACCCGGGAATCAGCACCAGAAGGGCCCAGTTTGCTTGTGGGCAGTGGCAGAAGTGACTGAAAACCAGCAGAGAGCTGAGCAAGCGACCCTGTTCCCTCTCTGACCCCTCCCTCACGTACAGCATCACAGTGAAGTAACATGGGGTGCCCCACCCTGGCAAATACCTAAGGCCCCGCCCCTTACTAAATAACAGGTGTGCGAAGACAAAAAAAAAAAATGATCCAAATAAAAGAACAGATCAAAGCTCCAGAAAAAATACAACTAAGTGATGAAGAGTTAAAATACTGGTAATCAGGATGCTCACAGAACTGGTTGAGTATGGTCACACAACAGAGGAAAAAGTGAAGGCTATGAAAAGTGAAACAAAGGAAAATGTATAGGGAGCCAACAGAGATGGGAAGGAAACCAGGACTCAAATCAATGGTTTGGACCAGAAGGAAGAAATAAACATTCAACCAGAACAGAATGAAGAAAGGAGAATTCAAAAGAATGAGGAGAGGCTTAGGAACCTCCAGGACAACTTTAAACATTCCAACATCCAAATCATAGGGGTACCAGAAGGAGAAAGAGCAAGAAATGGAAAACTTATTTGAAAAAATAATGAAGGAGAACTTCTCCAATCTGGTGAAAGAAATAGACATGCAAGTCCAGAAGCTCAGAGAGTCCCAAAGAAGTTAGACTCAAGGAAGCACACTCCAAGGCACATCATAATTACATTACTCAAGATGAAAGATAAGGAAAGAGTCTTAAAAGCAGCAAGAGAGAAGGAGACCGTCACCTACAAAGGAGTTCCCATAAGACTATCAGCTGATTTCTCAAAAGAAATCTTGCAGGCAAGAAGGGGCTGGAAAGAAGTATTTAAAGTCATGAAAGGCAAGGACCTACATCCAAGATTACTGTATTCAGCAAAGCTATCACTTAGAATGGAAGGGCAGATAGAGTGTTTCCCAGATAAGGTCAAGTTAAAAAAGTTCATCATCATCAAGCCATTATTATACGAAATGTGTAAGGGACTTATTTAAGATAAAGAAGATCAAATATATGAATAGTAAAATGATAACAAACTCACAACTATCAACAACCGAACCTAAATAAAACAAAAACAAAAATGAACTAAGCAAACAACTAGAACAGGAACAGAATCACAGAAATGGAGATCACATGGAGGGTTATCAGTGGGAAAGGGGAATGGGGAAAAAAGTACAGGGAATAAGTAGCATAAATGGTAGGTAGGAAATAGACAGGGGGAGGTTAAGAATAGTGTAGGAAATGTAGAAGCCAAAGAACTTCTACATACGACCCTGGACGTGACCTAAGCGAGGGTGGGGGTGGGGGAATGCAGGTGGGAGGAGGTGTACAGGGTGGAGGGGAATCAAGGGGCAGAAATGGGACAACTGTAAGAGCATGATCAATAAAATATATTTTAAAAAAAGAAGTATATCTCTACCTGAGTTACCAATGTTACTGGGGCTGGGCTGATGAATCACACGGGCTAGGGTGGAGTTAGTAAGGGCCTCAGGGCTTTAGGACACGGTTCCTGAGACCCTGAGCCCAGCCGGCCGGCAGTTCTCCCTCCTTATCACCCCATGCTCCTTTGTGCCCCATCCTGCAAGTCCACCCTCTGGTCTCAGGATCAGTGCCATTCACCCAGCTACTTCCCCACGGCTGTCCCGCTCCCAAGCTCTCTCCCTTGAGTCCCTTCTCCACAGTGCGCGGTCAGCAGCGTGGGGCGGACCTGAGCGATGGCGGCTCCTCACTGCCCGCAGCACCCAGACCAGACCTCTCGACAAGGACAAGCCCTTGGCGATCAGGTGGGACCTTCTGATTCGATGTGCTCAGCCTCCTTATTCATCGCTCCCTCGGGCTCCGTGCTCTCTCTCTCTTCCCACAGGTCCCTTTCCCTCAGTGATGAAACCTTTCCAGAAGCTCCCAGTAAGCTTCCTTGAAAGTCGCTGGCCAGAGCTGAGTCACGTGCCCATCCCGAAATCCATCGGACTTCCACGGCTGAGCGGTCACGGAACGCGTCGCTTCTGCCCACACTCCGGACACAGCGCCCACCGGTGGACATTTTTGGAATGAACTTCGTAAATACATAAGGATTCCTCATGGCCAAATACTGAAAACAACCTGAATGTCCTTCAGTAGGTGAATGTTTAAACTGTGGTAGAGCCCTACCGTGGAGTTCTACACGGCGATAAAAAGGACCAAATTATGGCTGTATGTACTGACCTGGGTGGATCGCAAGGGGGTAATGCTGCGTGAAAAAAGCTGATCTCAAAAAGTTACATGTTGTAGGCTTCCATTTATATAATATTCTTGGAATTAGAGAGATGGAAAAGCATTGCCAGGGGTGGGGATGGGGGTGGTGGGGAGGGGTGGGGGGCTGCTACGCCGGAGAAGCATCAGGGTGCTTCGGGGGATGGAACAGTTCTGGATCTCGACTGAGGTGTTGGTTACACACACGCACACACACACGAGTGAACACATGTGCAACAGGAAACCTGAGCGAGCTCTGTGCCTTGTTTCAATGGCAGCTCCCTGGCTGGGGTGTTGTAGTTCAGTTATGCGAGGTGTTCCTGCTGGAGAAGGCTGGGTGGGGGACACGCAAGATCCCCTTGTAAGGGTTTTTTTGTTGTTGTTGTTGCAATTTTCTGTGAATCTATAATTATTTCAAAATAAAGATGTCAACCCAAAGAACACATCAATAAAATAAATACAAAGATGTGGAGGGAAGGACCTCACAAAACCTGTGCGGCACAGAAACGGTTAAACTGCCCAGATCTCCAGAGCAGGTGAGCGAGCCGGGCTGCATGCCTAAGCGAGCAGGAAGCATAACTTTTTCCATGACTCAGCCTAATTTATCTTCCGAGCCCCTGTTCTGCCAGGTGGCAGAAATGTTCTCCTCCCTTTTGCTGGGGTTGCATCTACATTCTGAAGCCTTACGTCCTGCCAAAGTCCCCCTAGGGGCACATCTGGTACAGGTGCCACCCATCCCAGTCCCCAGCCTGGCTGCTGGCTGCTGGCCCCTGCAAGTCCACGCTGAGCTGTCCCTCCCCCCTGACTCCCGCAACACGCTGAGCCCAAGGGAACCCTGGCAGAACAAATCCCTATCTGGCATTCTCTGATCCACAAGCTGTCTACAGATATGTTTTACTTGGTTCATTCAGGATTTTAAGAAATTAGTTGGCAATATTTGAAATGGGACTTTTTTTTTTTTTTTTACATAACTAGCTAGCTGGAGCAGATTGTTCTGGGCACACGTCCCAGTGGGTCAGTGATCTGCTGAACCGGCCTGGGTGGTGGCTGTCACTTTAGACCAGGCATGCCTCCATTGTGGGTTTGCCACAGTCCCCACCATTCCCTATTGTCCATCCGGCCTGGATTCACTCATTTGCAAAATCTGCCTGGCCCTGACTCTTTCCTACTTCTGTGTCACTTCTGGGTCCCAGGGGACCGTGTTCTGCCTGTCCCTTGCTGGGGTGCAGAAACCCACCTGCCTGGATGAATCGAATGGCTGTTCCTTCTGGGATCGGAATGATCCCGCACAGGGAGAGGACACCATGGGACACAGCCCAGGGCCGTTGTCCTCAGCTTCCCTTGTTTCCTTTCATACTCCCCTTCCCCCTCCTGATCTGGGAACTCTATTATAGCGTCTGAAGAGGGAGGGGGCCTTGGTAGCCCCGCACCTGTGTTGTCCCCACCCCCACCCCCAGTCTACTCTCTGGCCACACACACGGGGACTTTCAGTTTCCTTCGGCTTTCAAAAGCCAAAAGCCGGGGCTGTTTGCTTTTGCTTCTCTTTTTCGCTGTGCCATCCCTCTCTGCAGACACGTGGTAGCGGCTGTCTGCATCTCTCTACGGGACACGTGCTGTGCTAGGCTCTTCACATGCAAATTGGAAATGAGGCTGAGAGAGAGGAAGTGTTTGTCCCAGGTCAACAGCGACTGAGAGGCAGAGCTGGGACCACACACAGTTCCTGTCCCGTCAGCCTTTCTGTTCCCACAGAGGTAAGGTTTTATTTCATGCCACCTTTTCTGCTTCCTGGGCTCCCAGGTCCCTGGCAGGGGCCAGTTGGAATTCTTACCTGGATGAAAGTGAAAGGCCACTGGTTGAACTGTTCACAATGCCCGCCTACTACCCAGCTGATTGGCAGGGTGGCCGTGACTGACAGGTTGCTGATGCATGACACTAACATTTTGACCCTCCGCCCCTGCTTTAACCTCAAGAGTGCGGAGTCACGACAGCCAGCGCCTAGGGACTTCCTGCAGAAGAGCAGGGATAAAAATGGAAGGCAGAAGCCAGAGGTTGAGTCAGAGAGTTGGCTGATCCAATTAAGGAGAAAGTAGAAGCTGGCTGTCGTCAATTTGCAAATCATCAGCTCATCTTGCAAGCTGGGCAAAGCCATTTCTCCGAAAATCCAATTACAACGCAGAGCTGAGAGGGCAGCCCTGGGGTTTCTGCTCGGCTCCCTGTCTGCCCCACCGTCCCTTGGCTGTCTCATGTCCAAGGGCGTTGCTAGCAATCCGTGAGCTTCTCGTCGCGGGGGCTCCAGGAGGGCCGTTCTCTCTCAGCAGCTGGGCACCAGGCATTCCGTCCTCACCCTTGACTGCCATGGGTCCCTCCAGCCCTCTGCTGACCCAGAGACTGGCCGCAAAGAGTCAGCGCAGCCCCGGGAACAGACAGACCCACCCCATACCCTTGGATTTTCTCAGGGGTGGCATCTGGGCCTGGTCTGGGTCGTGCCACTGAGGCCCCCTGGCCAGAAAGGGTGAAGTGGTGTTTCTTAAAATTCAGCGTGATTTAACGTTTCACATTTTGTGTTCATTGGGACTGTGATGTTTTCCTGTTGGAAATGAAACCGTTTCTTCCGCCTTACATTGCCTTTTAGCTAACACGGGGCACCCCTCACAGAGCAGCTCTGTATCAGAGCTGTGCGTGTGGGAGGTGGTCTGGCCTGGCGCGTGGGGGCACGTGGCTCCGTAGCCGAGCTGCCTGGGTTCAAACCCTGGCTTTGCGATGACCGAGTCCAGTTCCTTGGGTGAGCCATTTACCCTTGTGGGGCCTCCGCTTCCTCATCTGTACAGTGGGGTTCGTGGCGATCCTGACCAGGTGGGTGCCTGTGACACCCAGCAGGCCACGCCTGGCTCGTGAAAAGCTGCTCTGTGAAAGGGAGGCTCCTCTCCTTTGTGGAGAAAAACTCCCAACGTGAATGGAGCAGTGTGGGTCCCAGAGGGGGTGGGGTGGTGGGTGGGGCGATGCTCCTCTGGAGTCCCGTCCCTGGTCTCAGCAGGGTTGTGATTTGAGAGCCGAGGACGACACAGTCTTGGCGGATGAATTTGACTCTCCAGGGTCGCAGCGGGCGGGCGCCTGGGAGAGAACCAAGGGTGAGCGCTCTGCGGACTCACTCGGGAGCCACAACGGCCCGCAGGAGCTGCCATTCCCTCCCCGTCTCATTCGGGATTATGCAGCACTGGTGGGGGGGGGGGGCGGGCAGGCAAAGGATGGAGACATGGGGCCCACTCTGAGGCCTTGGCTTTTGGGAGGCGGGAGGGCGGTGGGGAGGGGAGGTGGGGAGGGGTGCGAGGGTGGGGAGGGAGCCAAGCAGCCTGGGGGCAGAGGCAGCTGTGCTGAGTCCTCTGGGCTCCCGGGGCCCCGCTGCTCCGCTGCTCCGAAGGAGGAAGCAGTGGCCAGAGGTGCTGACTTCCGAGTTAGCGAGCTCGTGTGCTGCTGGGGGGCGGGGGGAGGGGTGGGAACTGCCACGCGACCCCGTGGAAACCCCCTGGTGGCGGGTTGTGTCCCGCTCCCTCCTCTGGCCCCAGGCCTTTTACTGCTTTTCATGTTTCCTTTTTTTTTGAAATATTTTATTTGTTTATCTTTAGTGAGGGAAGGGAGGGAGAAAGAAAGAGAGAGAGAGAAACATCAATGTGCAGTTGCTGGGGGCCATGGCCTGCAACCCAGGCATGTGCCCTGACTGGGAATCGAACCTGTGACACTTTGGTTCGCAGCCTGTGCTCAGTCCACTGAGCTACGCCAGCCAGGGCACATGTTTTCTTTTTCGCGGAGGTGTTACTTATAGTCAGTGAGGAACAAAGCTCTTTAGTAGACAGCTCCGTGAGTTCTCACTTACGTGTGCAGCTCTGTAGCCACCTCCCAGATCAAAATCTAGGGCATTCCCAGGACCCAAGGCGGCTGCCTCAGGCCCTGCCCCCTGTCAAGCCCCGCCTCCAGGGAACCCCCAGTTCTAACCTTCATCCCGGTAAGTTGGCTTTGCCTGTTTTTGAACTTCAAATAAACAGAGTCAGACAGTTCCATAGGTTCCCCCACTCTCAATTTTGCCTTCCACAGTTTCCGTCACTTGAGGAAACCCATACTCTGAAAATACTGAATGGAAAATTCCAGAAATAAACAGTGCATACACGTTAAGTTGCACATCACTCTGAGTGGCGTGTCCCACTCTGTCTCACCCCACGCTACACGTTCCACACGGCATTTTGAGAGGGGCGAGAGAGACCACATCCACGCAACTTGCGTTACGGCAGGTTGTTACCATTCTTCTATTTCATCATTAGTTATTGTTGTCAGCCTCGTGCTGTGCCTCATTTAAAAGCTGACTTTATCTTAGGTACGTATGTGTGTGCAGGGAAAACGTGGCACACGTCGGGTTTGGTGTGTCCGTGGTTGGGGGCTTCCCCTTGGGGTCTGGGAGCCTAATCGCACGGCGAAAGGGGACGACGTGCGCATGCTCTTGTGTCCGACTTCTTCCACGCGACGCTGTGGCCCTTGCAGGGTTTTTGCAAAGCTGCACCTCGCTCTTCTCTGCTGCTGGGTGCTGTTCCATCGTGCCGATACACCCTGACCTATGTTTTCGTTCTCCTGTGGATGGGCTTCAGGCTGTTCTCTCCAGCCTGGGACCATGGTGAACGAAGCTGCTGTGAACGTTTTTGCACCTGGATTTGCGTGCGCTGAGGCTCTGGTGTCTGCCAGGCGTACGCCCTCTCGGGTCTGTGGGCCTTTCGGACTTTTTATGTGAAAACGCTCCAAGATCAGGGAAAAGGGAACTAGAACGTGGCAGGCCTGGGGGCGGGGGGTGGGGAGCGGAGAGGAGAGCAAGAGCATCACCACCAGCATTTCCCCTTTCAAAGATGTCATCTGATCTTTGATTTTCTGCCCTCGAAAGTAAATTATCCCCCTCCCCCTCCTGGGGGTGCCTATTGAAGTCCTGAATATCGGTAGACCTCAGAGATGGTCAAGATCACGTGCATTCTTCCCGTTCTACAGATGGCGACACTGGCGCCCAGAGAAGCGACTGGCCCGAATCCTCGCAGCTGGGAAGGGGCAGGGCCAGGAACACGAAGACTCCTGGGGACTAGCAGCCTCGCCCGTGAACCGGGGGAGGAGGGGTCACGGTCACTGATCTTCGCCAGCGCTGTCGGGCGAGCCGGAAGCTGTCGTCCCCAAGGTTCAGAGACTTCTCGCAGTCATCTTACCATGCTTATTGCATGTCAGTTCCTAGATTTACTCTGTTCAAGAGTCAATAAACCCCCCTGACCACCTGCTACGTGCCAGGTACTGTCTCGGTCTCCGGGCATCCAGCAGGGGACAGCACCGACCAGCGTTCCTGCCCTCACATAGCTTGCGTCCTCTCAGGGGAGAAGGCCGGTAAATGCATAAAGAAGTTGGGTGAAGTTCGTGGGTTAAAGGGAAGAACTCTAGGACCACACAAAGCAGGACGGAGGATGGGAAATGCTGGCTGGAGGCTTGGGGACAGAGCGAGCTGGATGTCCACCAGGATGACCGGGGAAGGTAGCATTCAGAAGCCCTGAAGGGGGCGAGGGAGTGCTGTCACGTGGGGTGGGCGCTGCGGGGCGGGAGAATGTTCTGGGCAGAAGCAAGAGCAACTGCAAAGGCCCCGAGGCAGGACTCTGCCTGGGGGGGGGGGCGGGGTTGGGAACCTGGAGGAGGACCGTTGGGCCAGAGCAGGTTGAGCAAAGGGCAGGCGATGTGGTCAGAGAAGCGGGAGGGCAGAGGGTCCACAGGGCCACACAGACCGCGACAAGGACTTGGGCCCTGACTCAGAGTGAGGTGTGGAGACTGTGGAGTCTCCTTCAGGGTAGTGACACCCGACTCAGCGCTTCTGAAGACCCCGCTGGCTGCCATGTGGGGAAGAGAGGAGGACAAAGACAGCAGCAGCAGGGACACCGTTGAAAGGACTGTGACCATAATCCAGTGGCAGACGATGGGGCTTGGCTCCACAGGGACAGCGGAGGGAGACCCGTCCTGGTGACGTGTCGAAGGCAGCGATGACAGGACTTCCTGGCAGGCTGACATTGGTCTTAATGTAAGGTCACCTTACATGCAAGGCACGCACGCTTTGCCAAGAAGGCCACCGAGTCTCAGGCACCAGCGCTTCCTCGTTCTCCTACATCGTCTCTCCCTCAGGTTCTCCTCCCCGCAGTCAGCAGGGGAAGGCCTCCTCGGGTCTTCCTCCCACGCAGGGCCGAGCCCTTGAACCGAGTGCGTGCGTGTTGGGGCAGAGGAAGTCACTTGGACTCTGCCTCATCTGTCCCTTTATCTGCTTCTCCGCTTCCTCTTTTCTGGGGGGGGGGGGGGTGCATTTTGACAAAGCCTTACAAGCACCTGAATGATGGAACCTCCTGGGAGGCGACCCTGACCCTGGAGGCCTTGAATGCGCTCCAGCCCCACCCCCTTCCTCCTCCGGGCCGAGTCTGTGCCGCCTCTGGGCCTCAGCACTTGCTGTCCAGCTCCGCTCCTGGAGTGGCATTTCTGCCGCCTCCTTCATGCTTCGGTTCCTGGAAAACATCGCTTCCTCGGAGACGCCTCCCCTGATGTCTCTGCTCTCTTCAGAGCGTTTCCCACAGTGTGTGATGATTTACCTGTTTGCTTGCTGGTTGCCTCGGACCTGCGGCCCCTGAGGGCTGCGAGGATGACTGTCTCAGGCACTCTCCCCTCATTCTGCAACAGGGACCTGATCCTAGGTCTCTTTTACGAGTGTCTGAACCTTTAAACTTGCCCTTGCCTCGCCCCAAAGGACCCTGGCTTGACGACTGGGTAGGCTCACATTCCTGGAACATCCGTGGTGCCTGTGTCCCTTCTCCGTGTGTGGACTGTGGCACATTATTTCTACAGACACGCAGGGTTTGTGTACCAGGAGGGCTGCCTGGGGGCGAGCACGTCATCCTGCCCTCACCTCCCCGAGGGCACTTGGCAGGGACAACTGCACACTGAACGCAATCCTCAAGGAAGCTTCCAGGGGCCCGGCCCGTCCACACCTAACCAGCCGGTTGCATTCCAAGGGTTTCTTGGTGCGGGTGCGACGGGAATCAAAATATTTTCTCTCACTGCAAGGATGTTATTAAACCCAAGATGCTTCTCCGAGCTGGCCCATGAGAGCGTCTTGTTCAGTACCTGCCCTGGCTCCCTGCCAAGGCCACCTCTCTGGCTGAGGAGGTTGGGAGGTGAGGGTGGAGAGGAGTCAGGGCGAGGAGGGCAGGGGTGGGAGGTGGGGGGGGGGTGGAAGGAATGTTCACACGGGTGCCCCGGGGCCTCCTCCTGGGAGGTGGGGCACTGGAGCCATTTTCGAACCTGCGGGCCACACGGGGGCGGCGCGTTGAGATCAGGGACGTCAGAAAGAACACGGGTTTTGGAGTCAGGCAGAACCAAGTTTGATGCCGGCTTTTCCTCTTAACCCACAATGGGAAACTTGCCTCGAGATGGAGGCCTTTTTGTCCCTCCCTATCGGGGCTGTGCTAAGGATTGAGTGTGATTAACCTTGACCTGCCGCCTTGCCCGTGTCAGTTTCCTAGGGCTGCTGTAACAAATACCAGGAACTCGGTGCCTTCAGCGATGCAAATACGTTGCTTTATAGCTCTGTAGCTGAGAAGTGTGCCACGGGGCCGCATCAGGCTAGAAATCAGGGTGTCAGCAGGGCTGAGCCCCCCGAGGCTCCAGGGAGGATCTGCCGGTCTCCCTCTTCTCGCCGCCGGCGGTGCCCACAGGCCTCCTCCGCCGCCTTCAAAGCCGGGAACTTGGCTGAGCCTTTGTTCACGCCAATCACTCTGACCCTCTTTGGCTGTCACGCTTCTGTCCCCTCCTCCTCTGCCTCTGTCTACTTTTGCGGCCCCCTTAGGATTACTTTGGGCCCCTCCTCAACCCTGAAAAAGGATAATCTTCCTATTTTAATACGATCAGCTGATTAGCAACCTTAATTCACCTTTGCCACGTAGAGTGACAGAGTCACAGGTTCTGGGGGTTAGGATGGGGCATCTTTAGGGAGCTACTCACCAGCCCACCAGTGCTCGTCCACACTCGTCTTTATTTGCCCTGGGGTCTCCCCCTCGCCACACCCCACGCCTGGCTGCCTGATTGTCCCTGTGGGATCCTGACGCCCACAGGGCGAGGCCCTGTGTGGCATGCCCAGGGGCCAGGCGGAAGACTCATTTGTCCTGTAGGAACTATGAGGAGGACGCAACGCAGGTGGCTGGACAAGGTGAAGTTTACGGCCATTCTTCAGGTGCCCCGACTGTGCGTCTGACTCCCTCGGGGCCACCCACACGGCCCTGTGGGGCTGTTTTCATAGTCTTCTCTCCCTGGGAACAATGGCCCTTAAAGTGTCCTGCTGCTCCCCAGCTGCCGCACAGCAGATGGCAGGTGTGGGGCTCTTGGAGGCCACCTGCCTGGGACCTTTCAGAAGAAGGGAGACAGCTGGAGCCTCCTGTTGGGGACGCATCAACAGAGGAAGACCTCGTGGCTGGTGGAGGCCTCGTGGCTGGTGGGGGCCTTGTGGTTTGTGGGGAGCCTCGTGGCTGGTGGAGGCCTTGTGATTTGTGGGGGGCCTTGTGGTTTGTGGGGGGCCTCGTGGTTGGTGGGAAGTCTCATGGTTTGTGGGGGGCCTCGTGTTTGGTGGGAAGTCTCGAGGTTTGTGGGGGCCTCGTAGTTGGTGGGGGCCTTGTGGTTTGTGGGGGGCCTCGTGGCTGGTGGAGGCCTCGTGGTTGGTGGGAGGCCTTGTGGTTTGTGGGGGGCCTCGTGGTTGGTGGGGGGCCTCGTGGTTGGTGGGGGGCCTCGTGGCTGGTGGGAGGACTCATTCTCAGCTCACCTCCGGCTGGGCAGCCTGTCACCCTCGAGCATGGTGCCTTGCTCAGGGTCCAGGTCTCCTGGCTGGGATGGCATCTCAGCTGGTCAGCAGGTATTCTGATTTGTTCGGAGACCAGCTTCCAAATTTTCCTTGTTCCAGGGAAGGTGTGTTTTTTGCCTTCTGTGGGGGAAACAGACATTTTTTTCCACATTAAGAACCACCCAGGTTGCAGGGAGGGGACAGGGATAGTGAGGGGCCTGCCCCTTGAAGCGCCGTCTCTCCCGCAGGACCTCTGGGTGGTCTGGGCTGGTTCGCCTCTCCTGCTGAGCGGAACTGGGCTGGGCTGGGGCTCAGAGGGACGCCTCTCTCGCCATCTAGTGGAGAGTGGCAGAACTTCAAGCTGTAGTGGTCTGTCTACACTGGAGCTGGTTATCCAAGGGCAAGCGTCCAAACCCTGGCTGGGTCACACAATCCCCTAAGGAGGTTTTAAAACATACATATGCTCAAGCCCTACTGCATACCTACTGCATCAGAACCTCTGAGGTCTGGGATCTGCATTTTAGCTTTGGAATGCAGATCTCCAGGCCTTACCTGCCAAATCTGTTATTAGGCTTTTTTTATATAAAGATTTTATTTAGAGAGGGGAAGGGAGGGAGAAAGAGAGGGAGCGAAACATCTGTGTGTGGCTGCCTCTTGTGCACCCCCTACCGGGGACCTGGCCCACAACCCAGGCATGTGCCCTGACTGGGAATCGAACTGGCGACCTTTTGGTTTGCAGGCCAGCACTCAATCCAGTGATCCACACCAGCCATAGTGGAATCTGGATTCTTTTTTTTTAAGATTTTTATTAATTTATTTTTAGAGAGAAGGGAGGGAGATAGAGAGAGAAACATCAATGTGCAGTTGCTGGGGGTCATGGCCTGCAACCCAGGCATGTGCCCTGACTGGGAATCGAACCTGTGACACTTTGGTTCCCAGCCCGAGCTCAATCCACTGAGCTACGCCAGCCGGGGGAATCTAGATTCTTAACAAGACTTCTTCAGTAACTCCTATGGCTTGACCGGAACACCACTGACTCAGCTGTCCCCGAGTTAAACGAGACAACTGTGGGATGCGGGCTTCTCTTAAAAAGTGGATGCTATGGTTGTTGTATTACTAGAAGCATAATACCCCGGTTAGGGAAGGATATAATACAGAGGTTAGTATCCGGGTTTAAGCCCTACGTTTACTAATGCCAACTGTGCGACCTCGGGTCCACGTCTCAACTTCTTCCCGCTTCTGCGGACTCGGGGGTCAGGCAGAAAGCACGTCGTGGCGCAGGGCCTGACTCTTAGGAAGAAGATCCGGTGTGCACAGTCCCCGTGCCCGTATCTGCCGGGAGCACAGTGTGCGATTCCAGGGACACAGTTATAAAGGGAATGTCCGGGGGAGGAGGAGGAGCAGGAGGAAGGGGACAGGAGAGGAAG